TATAAAATTTAACATTGTAAATTATTCAATAATATGTGATGTGATAACTCAAAAATTAAGTTATAAAATGATAATTATATTTATTTATATACTCTAACACATCTTACATACAAGATAAATTCATAAGTTTGTTGAAAGATAAATTTATATTCTAGTCACGATTTTGAAATTATATAAAGAAAAAAAAATCGTGTACCTCATGTTAAAGAAAGTATATATAAAATTGTTAATAAAATATAAGTTCATTAAGATAATATACATAATACTTCAAAAAAAAAAACTTTTAAATTCTAATAAAAAAAATGCTGAAAATTTTGCGACGGTTTATGACTAACTGTCGCAATGTTAAATTTGCGACGGTTTATGATTAACTGTCGCAATGTTAAACTTGCGACAGTTTATCATAAACCGTCGCAATGTTAAACAAATTTTGCGACAGTTTATGATAAACCGTCGCAATGTTAAACAAATTTTGCGACGGTTTACGATAAACTGTCGCAATGTTGAACAATTTTGCGACGGTTTTGAAAAACTGTCGTATGAAGGGTCGCAATATCAAAGCGACGACGGTTTCTAGATAACCGTCGCAATTTGTCTGTCGCAATTTATCATTTTTCTTGTAGTGTTACCTCCAAGTGAAGACACTTCAAATGGTCCACATACATCTGTATAGATCACCTCCAGAACATCCTTGCTTCTGGTCTTCAAGTGTGCTTTGAATGGATTCCTTGCTTGCTTCCCAAGCATACAACTTTCACACGTGACTTTACTCTTCTGAATATGAGGCAATCCTACCACCATTTCTTTCCCTGCTAACTGACTCAAGCTACCAAAATTGAGATGACCAAACCTCAAATGCCATAACCAATTAGTATCTAAGACAGCAGCAGCAAAACACATATAATCTGACACTGAAATGTCAACTCTAAAGGTCCTATTGTTACTCAAAGGAGCCTTAAGTATTGGTGAACCATTTTTATCAAGAATCCTCAGCATTTGATCGTTCCAATCAATCAAGTAGCCCTTCTGTAGAAGCTGTCCAATACTCAATAAGTTGTGTTTCATTGCAGGAACATACAACACATTTGAAATTACAGCTGTTTTCCCATCTTTCCTTCTAATTAGGATCTTTCCTTTTCCTTCACATTTCATAGTAGAGTTATCTGCAAACTTCACTCTACTTTTAATCTTTTCATTCAAATCGATGAACCAGCTTTTCTGAAATGTCATGTGATTCGAGCAACCTGTGTCTAAGTACCAAGATTCACCAAAAGTTTTCTTCTCGGGTTTTGTAGTAGTCACCATCAACAATACTTCATCCTCGGATTCTTCTTTCTGAGCTACATTGACCTCTTCTTCTTTTCCATTTGAGCTTTCTTTACTCCAACAATCGACGGCATAATGACCATATTTGTTACAATTGTAACATTGCACATAACTCTTATCAGAACCTGAACCTGAACCCGATCTACCACCTCTCCATTGTGCATAACCTCTTCTTCTACCACCACTCCAATTCTTGTTTCCTCCTCTCACTAGTACAAAAGACCCCTTTTACGTCGGGCATTTAAAGCCATTTACGTCGAAAAAGCATCAGACGTCATTACGGGAGACGTAAAATTTACGTCGGGGGTCAAAAACCGACGTAAATTTACGTCGGACACACAATGGTCCTACGTAAAAAATCGTAAAAATTTATAAATAAAAAAAAAAGAAAACGCTGCAAGCAGAACGGGCCGTTCTGCTTGGAAAACGGCCTGTTCTCCTTGAAGAACGGCCGTTCTTCTTGGAGAACGGCCTGTTCTCCATGGAGAACGGCCCGTTCTGCTGGATAAACCCAGGCAGTGGTCACTTACTTCTGCAGCTTCACAAACACAAAATGCACAAACATTATTAAGAAAAATACATCCCAAAAAACACAAGCATCGGTTAAGGAGTGGTCACTACCTCATAGAAAAACAGATGGATGTATGGTTAAGCCATTTCCATCAACACGCGAAGAAGAAACAACGTAACTCCGAAGAAGAAAAATAGAAGAACGTGAAGATGAGGAAGACAACCACGATTTGAGGAGGAGGCGGAGGGATGAGGAAGAATCCACAACGCGCGGGAGAACGTGAAAATGAGGAAGAATGCTACGATTTGAAATCCATAGTGCGCGCCCATGATTTTAGGAGTTATTTACGTCGGACAAAGATGGGTCCGACGTAAATGAGATAATTTACGTCGGCTGCTTTACTGTCCGACGTAAATTATCTCATTTACGTCGGACCCATCTTTGTCCGACGTAAATAACTCCTATTATTTACGGAACTGTCACCGCGTTTTTACAATGTCGGGTGTGCTAGTTTCCGACGTAAATGAAGAGACGTAGTAGCTCCTTTTTCCACTAGTGTCTATTACCTCTCCACTGAGAAATTTGATCATTTTGTCCTCTTCCATTCGTTTCAGAACCACGGCCTCCATTATAGCCTCCTCTAAATCCTCTTCCACGACCTCTCTTATTGAATTTACCACGATTACATTCAGCCTTCTTATTCTGTTTAGCTAACAAAGCTTGTTCTGAACCTGATTTGTCACCATTTTTTTCTCTTAACCTCTGCTCATATGCTTCCAACGAGCCTTGCAACTCTTCCAGTTTCAAAGAATCAAGGTTCTTTGATTCTTCAATCGCAATATCAATCATATCAAATTTCGTATCAAGGATTCGAAGTACCTTCTCAACAATGGTTCTTTCTTTGATATTTTCTCCACACGAATTCATCAAATTGGTGAGGGATAGTAACTGCGAAAATTATTCTTGGATGGTTTCTTGATTTCCCATCTGCAAAAGCTTGTACTGACGTCGCAAAGTCTGAAGCCGCACTGTCTTCAACCGTTCCACTCCAGCGTAACTTTGTGCTAAGATATCCCAGGCCTCCTTCGCCGTTTTCGCCAGCGCGATCTTCTCAAAATTCGCTTCATCGACGCATTGATGAAGGTAAAATAGTGCCTTACAATCTTTCCGTTTCGCCTCGCGAAATGCTGCTTGTTGTGTATCAGTTGCGTTCTCCGGTGGATCACTGTAGCCGGTGTTGACAATTTCCATGACTTCTTGAAATCCAAAGATGGCCTTCATCTTCACGCACCAACGATCATAGTTATTGAGATTTTTACTGTCAAGCATTGGCATGTTCCCTGATAACGTTCCTTCATTCCCGTTCACCATTGTTGTTTGTCCCTGATCTTGAAGCTCTTGATACCACTGTAAGGTAAAAGAGAGAGGGATCCAAAAAAGACTAATATATCAGAAAATGTAAAAATGATTAATCACCAAGTACAATATATCTTGTGATTACAAGTATTGGGCCTCAGATTATTAATGGGCTTGGCCCAATGTACATGCTGAATTATTAGCTAACAGTCTTAACTTGAGATTACTGACCTTAGATAGTCAGATACTTCACTTGAGTACAGGTTAATAGTTTTATGTATGGTATGAAAACTATAGATGATCATTTGTATCACAAACAAAAAATACCCTTCATTTTCCCTTTAAAACTAATTATAGTTAACATGTACGCCATCACTTGCAAGTTGCAAAACATTAATTATGCAGATTGCAGACATTGGCCACGTAATCAGGTGAATAATAGAAAGGTAACAGAAACAGCAACAAATGAAGCTTTCTGAGTAAATATTTTCATTTCACATCACATGTTTCCGTAGGTAAAAAATCATGCAGTTTGTGCTGCTGCTAAGAAGGCGTTAAAATCTTCTCTGGCTTTTCTCAAACGAGGAGAGATGCAAGATACTGGAGAGGTAGGATGTGATGCCGAAGATGATGAAGAAAACCTAACATGGCGCGGCGATGCATCTGATTTTCTAACATTGCCTCTAGAGGAACCATTCTTGAGAATCCCTTTAAGATCTCTTTCAAAAGCAAAAGATGGAGAAACTGGTGAATACACTTCACTGGCACTGCATTTGATCAACTCCATAGGAAGATCAAAGTAGGAGTTAGTGGATTCTCCTTCAATCTCATTAAATATTGCCGCAGAAGCCCATGAACCACACTCAAAATTTTCCAAGGAAACTGTTCTAGACATTACACCACCCTTTTCTGATTCTTGATCCTTTCTTGCTTTAACTGGCTTTACTTTACCACCAAAGCCTGGTAGATAAAGGCATAGAGCATTGCATTTGAATCCATCATGTGTAGCTTTCATGTGCTTAGGGTTAACACTCTTGGGACTTCCTTTGACAACTTCAATTTTGGAGAAGTTGTCAATATGTTGCCAGTTGTCATGATCCAATGCACTTAGTTTAGTCAACCATCGATCAAATTCATCCGAGGGGGCAAATGCTCTTTCTTCATTACATGATTTGCTCTTCCTTAAATGCACTTCTTGTAGCAAATGCTGAAGGGTGATATTACTTGCTTGGCATTGTGATTCCGGGCTCTCACCTTTTGGTTTCTTCTTGGAAAGTGCTGAAGCAAACCTAGGTGATGAGTTTGCTGAATTTGGGAGACTCTTGCTTAAGAACTTTGACTTTGGAGGTTGAAGTGGTGGAGGGTGCAAAATGATGGCTGATGAAGTTGTGATTATAGTTGGCAACACCGTCGTGGTGTCAAGGTACCCCGGTTTAGTAGGAGAATCTTTTAATGAAAGTGGATCCACCACAATCTGCTTTTCATTTTGCATGACCTCCATGATTGAAATTCTGGGTTCCTCCATTTTTCTCACAGGAAAACCACCTTCTATGTAGGCATCTACTTGTAAAGAAGCCATGCTTTGTGATGATAATAGGTATTTCTATTTCGATATCGGAAACTTAACATGGACTTATGAAATGCCAAAGGGTAGATGACTACTTATAAAGATGAGGCATAGAATGTAAAGAACGAGTGGCATGCATGCCAACTAGAACATCAACACCTCGTGATAACCATGTTCTCTAGTCAACTATGTATAATTTTCCCACCCCATGTATTGACTTTTTATATAAAATAAGCAAGAACTTGGAGACACTGTAATAATAATAATAATGATCAACTGTCCCTTTTATTCTATAATATATACTACATAAGTATATCATAAGTTGAACTTAATACGTGCTGGCATCAATCAAAAAAGAAGTCACTATGTCGAAGCATACAAAAGAATCTAGGGCCAAAGAAAATGAATAATTGGTGTCAAAGTATATATAATACATTTACAAGGTAGAAAATAGGCCATAGCAAACATGCGGCTCACAACTATCAATTGCCACAAACATGAGCTTTCTTTCATTGGATCTGTTAAGAATGTGAATTATGTATTCCAAATTCGAGATTCTACGCGTATAGTTAAACTCACAACACAAGGAATGGGTAGTGATTATTGATGTGGTGACAGTTTAATTATGAAAGAAAAAACTCTTAAAAATGAAAGAAGTAATAATATTATCCGATAAGTCATTTTAAAGTCATTCACCATTACTACAAGTAATAAAGTTATTTTTTCAACAAAAAAAAATATAGGTTCTTTTATAAAAGAAAATAATGTATCCCAAGTCAACGAGGGAATCATGTATCCAAGAAGAGAATATGTGAGTCTAACAGATGTAAAAGAATCTTTCATGAAAGAAAAAAAAAGTATTATCATTCATTATATATATATATAACTATGAGTGAGCGCCAGTGCAAAATCGTGAATTTATAAAAGGCTTTTTAGATTGGTTCATGAACAAGGGTACGTATAAACATAAACACAATGACATATTTGTAAGTATTGGGATTTGGGAACAAATTTACATCGTTTATAATTTCATCGATATGCAAAAAACATTCTATATTAGCTAAAATTTAAACAAATGTAAAAAAATATCTTTTTACTCCGATTCATATTTAACATAATTTTTACATCGGTTAAAAATTTCACTAATATAATTTTTTTTTATATTGATTAAATTATAACGTGTAAAATCTATTTTAAAACATCTCACTTGGAACAAAACATGAGTGTTTATGTACATATTCGTATATCAAATTTAAAACTACGTAAAAAATTTGTGAGTGTACATTTTTTTTTATATTTAATTTTCAGTTAAGTTCAACTCAAGCATACAATGTATCTAATGAGTCCATCCCAAAACATCAAACGATCTTTGCGAGTGCGATCCCAACCTCGACACTGCCCCCAACCGTGACCGTCGACAAAGCGAAACCCCTTATTGCAAAGCAACCCCAACGAAGTGGAGATTGTGACCTTGACTGTGCCACCCAACACCCACAACGTCGAGGTTAGTGAAAAATTTGACCAAATCCTTATTGTTTAACTTTTTTCACATTCGCTTGTATATGGACTTGGGTACCACCGATTTTACAATTCAGAGGTGTGATTGTTGTGTTAATTTGTGTTGCTTTGGAGGTCTCTTATATATGTAGAAGATTCACTTTGTCAAGGCTCGGTGAATGCTTTCGTAGATCGTGAGAATAAAATAAGGAGAAGCAATAATGGTTCTTTATTCATACTCCAACGTGGTGGCATCTTGCAGGATCACCCATCGGACCACAAGGAGGGTTTCAGTGACGTTTCGGTCAGATATTTTACATCGATTTTGCAAGTTATGGATGTAGAAAGTATGTCTTCACTTTTTATGTGCTAAAACTTTTAACGCTTCAATTATCGATGTAAAACATCTTCTTTAAACTATATGAAAAGTGTAAATTACAGTGGTGGAGAGAGACAGATTTGTAAACTTATACATTGCTTAGGACGATGTTTTTAGATTTTTTTTAAAAATTGTAATATTTATTTGATATAGTAATTATTTATTAAGGTATTTTTATGTATGTAAACAAAAAAGTTGAACACACGACCTCTGGGAATGTTTATTGCATAGTGTTTTTATGAAGACACAACCAAAGCCAACAAAACTTTCTTGAAGACTACCAAAATGTCAAAATAAATTTATGTTGACAGAGACAAAAAGTCAAATTTTTAGATAAAAAGTCAAGACAAAGACATCGATAGAGACAAAATGTCAAATTCTTAGATAATTGTGAAAGACTTATCCATGAAAATGAATAATTTAGGAAAATGTAAAATAATTTTCAGATAAAAAAAAATTCATCGAAAAACTCATTTTAAACTGAATCACTAGGAAAAAAAATGTCTTCAATGTTGGGATAATCAAATTGGTTGTAATGTAACCAATTTAATAAATGTGGTGCAATAACATTTTTGAAATTATATCTACATTTTTAAAATTAATTTTTTTTAACAAATTTAGTAAGATATATTAAAATTGGTTTTTTTAAACTGATTTTATAGAGTGTTAGAGGGGCCGAGACACTTCGTACCTCTAATAATTATACATAGATAAATATTAAAAATTATAGAAGATATAAGAAAAAAAAATTTACATTCAAGGATATAAAAATTCATTAAAAAATAATTAATAAAATGTATGTCCTTTATAATATGCATAAATATTAAAATTAGTTGATTTTTAATCGATTTAGAAGAGTATTTTTAAAATCAGTTAAACATTTAGTCAATTTTAAATATACTCTACTAAATCGATTCAAAACAATCGATTTGGTTTGGTTTCTTTTTCTGGTGCACGAACTGTTAGAAAAATAAATTTAATAGAGCACAAGAAAAATTAAATTTTAGATTTATCAATAAAACCAATATCAACAACACAATGAATACTATAAAATTAAAAGCAAAACAATCAGTAACAACTAATTAAACACAAAGAGCAACATAGAATATTAAATAATAGGTTTAGAATAGCCTAAGTTGAAGCACGCAGAGCGCTATCCTTAGAGAGAAAACGCCCCCACTGCACTGATAATTTAGAGTCTTATAGTGCGCTCCTCTCCCAAGATACGTCAACCCGTTAGACCGTTCGAGTGCAGCAAAAGATTCCCGAACCAAAGAACACCGCTCCAAAATTATAATTTTGTAGTAGAAATAATATTGAGGGAGAGATAAAAAAATGAACTTGTTGTGTATGTATTTTTCTATATTTTATTTTTACGTACGGTTAGGGCTACTCGAAAACCAGAAGAAACAAATTGGCTATATTTATGAAACTACTCGAAAGGAAGATAAAGGCCAAACACCAGGATCGTATCAGGAGCCTTATTTGTTTGCGCTTGAGATGTGATCAAATATAATTGTTCGAATCAAATCGAACAGAGAAATGCTCGAAAAATAGGTGAAGGAGGCTACTAGAGGTTTCCTAAAATGATTGAGTAGTTAAACCAAAGCGGTTATTGACAAGCGAATCAAAAAGATAATATAAGTGGATGAACGGTTACGAGAAGTTATATGCTAGACCACGTAAAGAGAGCGTAATGGCGGTTATTTTCCAATAACTCGCACGTACACAATTAACTACCCTCGATTAGCTCTATAAATATGCAAGGCATAGTAATTTACAGGGGTCGGAAAACTCATACTAGAACTAAATTCTCAAGCACTCTCCGCTTGCGCATATGGCTTTCGTGGAAGGAATTGTTTTTGGGTATGACTACTTCTCGGCGACTTTTCTTTTCTCTTTTTAGAATTAGGATTAGTGTAGTTTCCTTTTTGTTAATCACGTAGTTTAGTTGCATAATTATGCTTCAGCATTTCAATTGTAATTCTATGCAAGTGAATCATGATCTGTATTAATTGTAAATATATGTATTGTTCATTCTGTTCATATGCTATGTGCATGAAAATCATTACTTGTTAATTATTGATGAATATTTAGAAACAAGTAATTATTAATCTTATGTTCTCTTGTTCCTCAAAAGTCAAAACAAAATATACCTAAATTGAAACGTTTGTCGTGCTAGTTCGAATAAAAAGAATCCATAAACAAATTCCACCATAAACACATACCAATGTCTATATAAGCATAATATTAGAGATAAAGGATGTGCACCCCTCTTTTGCATGCTTTTCAGTAACAGCAAAAACGTGTACGTTGTGCGGATGTGCACCACTCTTTTGCATGCCTTTTGGTAACAACAAAGAAAGTGTACGTTGTGCACTCTAACCAATTAGAAAATTGGAGACTTGGCCAAAGTAAAGAAAACCATAACAGTTTTTGTTTTTGTTTTTTTTAACATACAAATATTAAATAAAAGCAAAGATTAATTAAATTAAATATTTAACTTAAATTTTAAATTATAAGATAATTTTTTAACAATCCCTCACTAATTTAAAATTTAAATATAAAAAAATGATATATATATATATATATAAACTTAAATATTTTAATGGAGCATGATATATTATATTTTCAGTATAAGGAACCTTCCGGGTTTGAGCTTTATACTTAGTGCATATGAACTTCCATTTGAGAGAATATGGAGACATAATTGTCTTGAGTTATATCCCTCACTACTACAAGATGCATATTCTACATCGGTTCTCTAAAGGCATCTACATCGGTTCTAAAACTAATGTAAAATAGAGCAACGTAGAAAATGTATACATTTTTACATCGATTCTCCAGAGAACCGATGTAGATTTATTCTTAAATGTACATCGGTTGTCCAGAGAACCGATGAAGATTTATGCTTAAATCTACATTGATTTTCTTGAGAACCCATGTAGATTGCATTTTTTTAAAAAAAATTATGCTTATTTTTTGATTATTTCTGATTACTACTAGAGCACGACCAGTTTTCAAGGATTTCAATAGTGCTTGACAGTACCTGAAATCAAATAACAGCAATAAGATAAGAGACTGTCGCAACCCAAAAATTTCTGATCTTGCGACTAATGGTTTAAACATCCTTTTA